TAAAACTACATGTGTACGTGGAAAAAAAAGAATACAAATAGAATTGATGACTTACTGATGATAATGTTTAGGGTAAAAAATGAGAGAAGGCATAAAGTGCCAATATAAGAAGATAAAAGGGGGACATTATTATGGATTATACAAACATTAAAAATTGATTTTAGATGAGAATTATAAACTAGATTCAATAAGTTTGAATACTTAGATGAAATAGATGTCTTTTTAAAAAAGAATGTCAAAATCCAGGAGTGGAGGCGCATGCAGGAGGATCATCGTGAGTTTGAGGCCATCCTGGGCTACATATTGAGTTCAAGGCCAGTCTGAACTATGTAGTGAGACCCTACCCCTCACAAAAGTAAAAACTTTTAAAAACACAATTAGTAGTTTAAGACTTCTTTTTTGAGACAAGTTTTCACTATGTAGTTCAGGCTGACCTTGAACTCACTATGTAGCCCAGAATGGCCTTGAACTCACGATGATCCTCCTGCCTCAGCCTTCTGAGTGTGGGATTACTGGCATGTGACACTATGACCAGCCTTAAGACTTTTAAACAAAGAAAATTATCAACCGAAATGGTTTAACTGGAGAATTCTAACAGTTATTTGTAGAAGAAATAACACCAATCATATACAAACTATTTTTTTTAAAAAACAAAAGGACATTACCCAATTTATTCTATAATACCAATGAAGCCATAATGACAGTACTGGATATCACAAGAAAAAAAAATCTTCTTAACAAACATAAATAAAAAAAACCTAAACAAAGTCAAGCAAACCAAATATAGTTTTCAACCTCTTAGGAATATCTTCCCTTAATCTGATAAATATTATCTATAGAAAACCTACACAAAATACACTTAATGATAAAAGCTACAAAATTTTCTCCTGAGATTGAAATCAAGATAAGAATGCCATCACTGTATTTAAAATCCATTGAATAAAGTTGAACACGAGTCCATTCTGATATACATTGTTAAAAAATAAGAAGGAAAAGAATGTATTGAGTAACACACTAATCATTTGGCAGCTATCATATTGGTAGCTGATATAGAAAGAAATTATGAGTAGATGCCAAGACTGAAGAGTGGGGATTTCACAAGGAGTAATATAGGAACATTTTCTGAGATAGCTTTTCTGGTCTGCCAACCTAGCTATGCTATAGTCTCCAATTATTTAATCAGACATTGATCGAGGTTTTATATTGTGAAGACATTTTAGAAATGTAATTAAAGTCCCTAATCAGTTGGCCTTAAGTAAAGATTATTTTGTGTAATCTTAATGCACATGACTTACTTTTTTTTTTCTTTTTTTCTGGTATTGGGGATCGAACTCAGGATCTCGCACTTGAGAGGCAGGCACAGCACCACTGAGCTATCCCTGGTCCCACATGTCTTATTTTAAAGGCAGGGCTGAAGAGCTAGAAGGGAGACTAGTGGGAGAAGCAATTTCACCTCTAGGCAACAGCTTCAGCCCATGGGGTAACTCAGCCTACCCTTGATCTTCCTTTTCTGACTGCCTGCCTGGATTTTGGACTTGCTTACCCAGCCCCCACAATCTGAAATGAACCAGGTCAAGGATTCTTCTACAGAATGCTCTTTAAGAATGTCAAGGCTATGCAGGATAAAAAAGGCTGAGGAAGTATACTGGATTGAAGAGTATTAATGGAGATGATCATAAAAAGCAGCAGGTTTGCCACCTGCTGTGCAAGCGCAAGGACCCGAGTTTGATCCCAGGTATCAAAAAAAAAAAAAAAAAAAAAAGGACCAGTGAGTGATAAAGGTGATAGTTAAACCCAGGTTCCCTAACACCAGACTTGCATGCAATTAACCAATATATATAACACTAAAGTCTGCTGGTTCTATATTCTCATCAATATGGCATTTATAGTAATCAACTTTATTGGAATCTATTTTACATGTAATAAAACACTCGGATTTTAGCTATATAGTTTACTGTGTTTTAGCAAATGCATACAATGAAACCACCACCAAGTGAAGATGCCATTTCCCTTGTTATAGAAGTCCATGGGTCCTTTTGATCAGGTACCTTAACTGTAGGCTACTAGTTATTAATCTCTATCATAAATACTGGGTTCAAATATGCTGAAATCATCTTTTCTATACACTTTTTTACCACCTGGTTTTTGCTTCATTCAGTTATATGTCTTTGAGATTCACTTGTGTTGTCATGTGTATCAATAATTTATTTCTCTTCAGTGCTGGGTGATTTTTGAGGTATGGTAGTTCTGCAATATATGCCTGCATCTGCATATTTATATATATTTGAACTGTTGGCAATGGTTGGATATTACAAATAAGCTGCTGTGAACATCTGTGTACATACACTTGTGTGAAAATAAATTTTCCTTCTTTTTTCAGTAAATACCTAGAAGGAAAAAAGTCCAGATCAGAAGGTAACTCTGTGAAGCTTCCTAATATATAGCAAAATAATTTCCCAAGTGACTGTGCCATTTATAATGGTCCAACTTCAATGTTTGAGGATTCTAGTTGTTCACATCCAGTAGGCTTGGTAATACTGTATTTTAACTGTGAGTCATTCTAGGAGGTGTGCAGTGGTATTACCTTGTAGTTTCAATTTGCATTTCTGCACTCATAGAGATAAGCATTGTTCAAGTACTTATTGGCCATTCATGCATCTTGTTTTGTGAAACCTGAGTGAAGTACTTTGGTTATGCACTTGTGAGTGTGCCTATGTTTTATTGAGTTATCACAGATCTTTCTGTATTCTAGATGTAAATGCTGTATTTAATATGCTCAGTTCGTGAATTTTATTTTTAATGATGAATTTGGAAGTGCATTTTAAAAATTTAATGATGTCCAATTTACTATTGTTTCATGAACTAAACTTAAGAAATCTTTGCCTACTTCATGTATCACAACTTTTGAAGCAAGCATTTCCAACATAAGTGGAGTCAGTGGTTTGTCTTGTTTCTCATTGTTCATGCCCTTTGCCATCTTCAGATGCCCTGTCATCCAGCAGGTCAGGAATGCACCAGGATTTCCTCTTTGCAGCGGGCGTGGTGTGCCTGCAGGAAGTGGCACCCTTCAGAGGAGTAGCATGAAGGAGCCATGAAGCAGGGTTCTGTTTCTGCTGCACGGCCCTTGAGGCCAAGGTCCTGCTCTCTCATGGACACTGACCTCTGCCGACCTAACAGAGCTGACAGCGCTGCATTTGCTGTCTCCTGGCTGGAGAACT